ACAGAATACCTGGCTTCCAGCCTGAGTTTTACTGATTGTATGAACTTGAACAAATCACTTAATTGAATTTATCTTTACTGTCAGTAAAATGAGGATTATGATGTAGACTTTGTCTACCTCCCAGGGCTGATGTGAAGATCAAATGAGGGAATCTATATGGAAGCATTGTGTAACACTCTGATATGTCATAGAAGGGATAGGGTTTGGGTTTTGTAAACTTATTCTTTTCCTTGCCTTTTTGGCAAAAGGACCCCGGGTTCTGATCCAAGGGAGAAGGGTTAATCATAGGGTAATAGCCTGCATTCAAACGGAGTCTCCTCCTCCTCATTTCCTGCCAAAGCAACATTTTGGTTAGAAGCAGGGGAATACTGTCACTGAACGCAGTGGGAAGAGGATAGGCAGGGAAGAGCCTTTAAAAATGAAGTAAATGAATAAAACACACAGAAATTCCCTATTTTGCCCTTTCTCATTTAGTACCTAGCTCATTTCGGGCAATGTATACCTGCTTCCCTCCTCCTGCTGGTGTTTTCATTTATGTAAATTTCTTTATTTCCTTTTATATAAATCAAATTAACAGTGTCATTATTTGGAACATAGAGAATGCTTGCTGCTCTGTGCACTGAGTGGGCCAACTTGGCTATTGTAACCCCAGATCATAGTTTTTTCTTCCTGTACTATGTTGTCAAGTGGTTTTACTTTTATTCCAAGTGCTCTCCTTATTATAATAGCCCTTGAAAGGTAGCCTAGAGTTTCAGTGACACTGACTTAATTACTAAAAGGCCCTGGGAAAGGCGGCCTGGCACAGTGGCAGGAGCACGGGTTTGGAATCCTCAGACCTGGCTTTGAATCCTGGCTCTGCCACTTGATAGCTTTGTGACATGAAAAGTCAAGTGACCTGTCTGAACCTCACCTTCCTCACGTGGAAAGTGAGGATAATACCCCTCTGCTTTTTAGGGTGGTTTATAATGGTTATAAATATTGGTTTGGCCAAAAAGTTCATTTGGGTTTTATGGAAAAAACCCAATAGCTTAGGACAGTACTCAATACAGGGAAGTCTGGTTTTTTTAATCCAGCTATAGGCAAGTCACGTAATGTTCCTGAGTGTCAGTCCACTCAGGTGTGACAAGGGGATCACAGCAATTCCTATCTACCAGGGTTATTCTGAAAATTAAAGATAATGGAATTAAAGTTCTGGGAAGTGGTGGGAACTGGCTCTTCTTAATGCTGCTTGTTCAGTTGCTGAGTTTGCAGCCAGAAGGACCTGGGTTTAAATCCTAATTCTGCCACTTAGCTCCTTTGAACATCTTCCCCTTAGAAAAATGGAGATAACATCTTCCTTGCATAGTTTTTGTGACGATTAGAGATAATGTATAGAAAACGTCTGGCACTTTGGTAAAACAGCTCAATAGATGCTAGGATTATATTGTAATATGCAGTTTAAGTACATCACTAGGGTTTGATTTGCTAATTGTGATTCTTCCTTTACTGGAAAATATCCAGTAACTGACAGGAGTGTTTAAACTTTAACTCTTGTCTTTCTAGACCTGTGAGCATTGCAGCAATGGAAAAACCGAGTTCTTGATTTAGTTAAAGGAAGAAATGAGGCTGGGCAGATGGCATCTGGTCTGAAGGCGCAGTATGGGGAAAACAGTTCAAAGTTTTTCAGGCTCATGTGACAGTGGCCTCTGTTCTCACCCTCACACCTAGGAAAGGTCCAATAACCTGAGTCTCTCGGCCTCCAAGGGAATTAAGCTGAGTTTATTCCTGAAGTATAAACTTTCAAACAGTGGCTCTTTTTTTTTTCCCTTTTAGAATATGGTTTGGAACCTGATGCCAAAGCTAAAAGGTTGATTGTATATTGAACCAGAAAGCTAGATAGCTGGTCCAGGTAACTCAAACCAGACATTTTTCTAAAATCTGAACCAATGGATTAAATTTAGTCATATAATTTTAATGGTTTTCTAAACTGTTTTTCTGCCTGTGTGGATCCAATTCAAACATATAATTACCAATTAATAGTGCAGCATGTTTTCTGACTTTCGGCTCTGTAGACCAGCTTGCCTGTAGAAATTACAAGGCCGTTGTGCGATCCTCCCTCGTACTCAAAAGAGAGGATCTTTTTGATTCTAGAGTAGAAAGATGATTCCCTTATCCCCAGTTGAGTATCTTATCAGTGGAATGATTGTAAAGTAATAATTACAAAGTTGCTCTGGAATCAAGACAATCAGTTAAAGAAACCTCAGTTTCAGGGCACATTGTTGCAACCTGAATAATTTGAAAATGTGGATATCTAACCAGATCTCAGCTCAATTTACTGCATCCAAATAATGGGTGCATTGGTTTCCTAGGGCTGTCATAACAACGTACCATAAACTGGGTGGCTTAAAATAACAGAAACGTATCACTTCAGAGTTCTGGAGACAAAAATCAAAGTGTTGGCAGGATCGTGTTCCCTCTGAAGGCGCTAGAGTAGAGTTTGTTCCAGGCCTGTCTCTTAACTTCTGGTAGCCTCAGGCATCCCTTGCCTCACAGATCATCACTCCAGCCCTCTGTCCTCACATGGTGTTTTTCCTGTGTGTCTTCACAACATTTTCTCTCTGTGTATATCTGTTTCTGTGTCCAGATTTCCCCTTTTTATAAGGACACCATTCACATTGGATTAGGGCCCACCCTAATGCCCTTGAGGTCACATTCTGAGGTACTAGGGGTGAGGACTTTGACATCTCTTTCCTGGGGGACATGATTCACCCCATAATGATGGGCTTGGGTTTCTCACCAAAGAAAGCTTGTGAACTTTTCAGTATTCACCCCGTGACTAAGGGACTCTCTGCTAATGTCTCCCTCTCCATCAGATGCATCTCTTAAAGGCATGAAACGTTCACAAATTCCAGGGGCTATAGTTCTTACAGAATTTCTTGTAAGATAAAGAACTGAGAGTTTAGCTGTATGTATATATGACTTAAAATTTACAGAGTTGGCAAACAGAGATGCTGATGCAAATTTTTTTGTTGACTAAGTACATAAAAATCCATGGTCAATAGAGCAGAGCTAATGTAGAAAAGATTTAAGAGGAGGAGGATTTAAATTGGAGCTTGAAGTGAGGAAAAGAGGAATTTATATTGCTAGAGAGGTTGGGGAAAGTCAGTCTAAAAAGGGAACCGTGACACAGATAAAACTTCAGAGAATAGAATGGGCAAGTTGGTGGTCTGGTGGACTTTAGTCAATTAATATTCACCCAGTGTGTCTGTATTCTAGGCCCTTGGAATATCTCAGTGAACAAAATATAAAAATCACTGCTCTCATGGAGCTTATACTCTTGGTGTGTATGTGTGTGTTGTGGGAAGAAACAAAATAAACAAGTAAGTAAATATTAGAAGGTGATAAGTACTTTAGAGAAAGAAAAAAAAATGTACGGTAGGGGAAAGAGGATTGGGAGTTGGGGAGAGGGTGGCTGCAATTTTAAGCAGGCATTCAGAGTGGGCCTCACTAAGAAGGAAACTGTTGAGCAAAGACTTGAAGAAGGTGAGGGGACCCTATGGCTCTCTGAGGGAGGAACATTCTAGAAAGAGAGAAGCACCAGTGCAAAGGACCTAAGGGAGGAACGTGCCTGAGATGTTTAAGGAACAGCAGGTGGCCTTTGTGATCAGAGCAGGTTGATCAAAGGGGAGAAGAAGGAAACCAGTCCATTGTGAGGACTTTTGTTTTTACCTGCGTGAAACAGGTAGTCTGGGTAGTCGTTACTGAGTTGACGCGGAGGAATGAAATGATATGACTGATGTTTAAAGAGGATCCCCTTGGCTATCCAGGGGACAAGGTTGGAAGCAGAGAGAGAACTTTGGAGGCCATTAGGTAACCCAGGTAAGAAATAATGGAGCCTGGATCAGGGTAGTACCTGTGAAAGTGATAAGGAAACGGACTGGATCCTGGATATAAGGTTTTCTTGAGGGCTTTCTTACAGCCAATAGGATTTTCTGACAGATTGAATGTGGAGAGTGAGAGTCAAGTGTAACACTATAACTTGTCTTGAGCAACTGGAAGGATGGAGTTGTCATTAGCTGAGAACAGGAAGCCTTGTAGGGGCAGGATGTTTGTGGGATGGCGTAGGGAGAAACTGGGACTTCCATTTGGGACACAGAAGTTTGAGATGTCTATTAGACATCCAAATGGAGATATTAAACAGGCAGTTGTGTATGTAAGTCTGGAATTCAGCAGAGAGGTTGGAGCTGAAAATATAAATTTGAGAGTCTCTGGAATATGAAGACGGGATGAACTCTCCAAGGTTGTGAGTGATGATAGAAAAGACATCCAAGGACTGAGCCCTGGGACTTTCCGACGTTAAAAGGAGAAAGAAGAAAAAGAGACTGAGAAGGAGTAACCAGTGAGGTAGAAAGAACAGCAATAGGATTTGTTTGACTAGCTGAGGGTTAGTAATCTGTTGAGACAGGACAAGGGATAAATTGGTAAAAGGACTTGAAGACCAAGCATAGTCCCTAGATTCTTTTAGAGGCTGAAACTAAGGCATAACTTGATAAAAGATTTGTCTAAAATGACTTCATGGTAAATATCTCCTTCTAATCCCAGTCCCTTGATTCAATCAGAATCCTCATGGTTGAGGAAAATTTTGTAATGTGCAAGGTTTAGAGATATGTATGCCACTCTACCATGGAATTCGATAAGAGAGGCTGTTTCATTCTGAGTTGTTCAGAATAACAAATTCTTCATCTACTGGGTGTGTGTGTGTCTGTGTATGTATTTCTGATCAGTGGCATTTTAGAGAAGCATCCACAAAGCCACCAAAGTTAATAGGTCAGTATTACTTTCTTCAAACGTAGTTTTACCCGCAAGCTTGATAAAGGCTAGAGGGTGCAGGCTCAAAAGCCAGACTTAAGGAAAGAGTTCCCTGAATCCTGTTTCTGGTCTCATGCTCTTTTGTTTTTGTTGAGATAATTTGTCTTGCTTGTTGATCTTTGACCTGAGGCTTAGGGTTTTCTTTTTTGCAGGATGAAATTAAAGTTTGAAATTAAAGACCAGTAGATTCCAAAGGAGACTGAAATAATACCTTCGGAAGTTCAAGTGTGATGTAACAGTATACTAGAGAGGAAGACGTGGAAATTCAACAATATCACACAAGAGAGTTGAAGAATCAGAGGTGGTGGTTTGGCACCTCCTATGACACACAGATCCCAGGTGGGTCATCCCGAACTTGGAAAAAGAGCATGTAGTAGAATTTTCACTAATTTCTGTTTGTGGCTCTAGGGTAATTGCTGACTAAACTGATGCTTCAAATAAGTAACTAAGTGTTGGCATTTTATAGCCTTTGAAACTTGTTTTTAGACATTTTTTGGTCTTATTTCTCTGTTGCCTTTTTGATCTAAACTCTCAAACTCTTTCAGAACTGAAGCAGGAAATTTAGATTTAACCTCAAGAGTCAATGTTTTGTCTTGTGTCTCGTCTAATATAATACAGATGTGAGGATGGCTGTATTTTACTTGAACACTTATTGAATTTCTGCCTTACTCCTTTCTCTTTCTAATGGGAAACAGTCTAACTCTAGTCCTCATTAAACTCAGAGAACCCAAGCTGTAATCTTGAGAATGTACATGGAGAGAAGATATATTTAGGTTATTTACTTAGGTTACAAAGCCTTAAACTGCTTCACTATTTGAGGAAAAATATCTCCTGTCTATGAAAGACAATGAGAAACAAAGAAAAATGTTAAAGATTTAAAAAGTGTTAAAGAATTGAAAAAATGGCCCTTCAAAATGCTCTTTTCTGACTAGAATGAGTGTCAGTTCATTACCTGGGCAGTCTGTAATGTAGTGAGATGTCCCTTTTGAACACTCTACATTCTAGCTTGACAATGCCTATATTTCCTTTCTTTCTTTCTTTCTTTTTTTAAACATCTTTATTGCAGTATAATTGCTTTACAGTGTTGTGTTAGTTGCTGCTGTATAACAAAGTGAATCAACTATACGTATACATATATCCCCATATCCCTTCCCTCTTGCTTCTCCCTCCCGCCCTCCCTATTCCCACCCCTCTAGGTGGTCACAGAGCACGGAGCTGTTCTCCCTGTGCTATGCGGCTGCTTCCCACTAGCTACCTATTTTACATTTGGTAGTTCATATATGTCCATGCCACTCTCTCACTTTGTCCCACCTTACCCTTCCCCCTCCCCATGTCCTCAAGTCCATTCTCTACATTTGTGTCTTTATTCCTGTCCTTTCCCTAGGTTCTTCAGAACCATTTTTTTTTTTTTTTTTAGATTCCATATATATGTGTTAGCATATGGTATTTGGTTTTCTCTTTCTGACTTACTTCACTCTGTACGACAGACTCTAGGTCCATCCACCTCACTACGAATAACTCAATTTCGTTTCGTTTTATGGCTGAGTAATATTCCATTGTATATACGTGCCACATCTCCTTTATCCGTTCATCTGTCGATGGACACAGGTTGCTTCCATGTCCTGGCTATTGTAAATAGTGCTGCAGTGAACGTGGTGGTACATGACTCTATTTGAATTATGGTTTTCTTAGGGTATATGCCCAGTAGTGGGATTGCTGAGTCATATGGTAATTCTATTTTTAGTTTTTTAAGGAACCTCCATACTGTTCTCCATAGTGGCTGTATCAATTTACATTCCCACCGACAGTGCAAGAGGGTTCCCTTTTCTCCACACCCTCTCCAGCATTTATTGTTTGTAGATTTTTTGATGATGACAATGCCTATATTTTCTATCTACAAAGCTAGTTCTCCCAAATTGTGCTATTCCAGAGAACTGCGCAGACTGAATATTTCAGCAACTTTGAGGTCACCATCTCAGCTTCCTGTGGCATAAATCTTCTGTAGGTCAGTTGGGCAGAGAAGGGCCCAACTTGTCCAGTGACTGTGATACAGACAATGACACCCAGCTCCTTTGGCCGAAGTGCTACATTTATCTATCAGTACTGATCCAACAATCTGAATTTTTTTTTCAGGTTGGTGGCAAATGTATTTCAGAGGGAAAAAATACTTCATAGTGTAGACGTGTAATGTGAGCTCATTTATATGGTTTAGGAATGATTTCTTCAGTGGCCCAGTGACCTGATCTGCTTCAACTAGTCTAAACATGTGTCACAATTATGTTTGTACCTCTCTTTGGATTTATTTGATTAGAGGCTTTCTTGTTGACTTGTGTTACAGGGGAAAATAAACACATATCCCTGTCCTCAGACCAGTCACTGGTTTGTTTACTCTGACGGTTGCAACCAATCATGAAACAGAGCTCTCCAAAGATGGCATGGTGGCCTCTCCTAGGACATAGTGAGCTTTTGGTCGGTGTAACCAGGGACAGACACGACCCTGGCATGCAGCCAGGTGGCTTCATGGCCAGGATCTTAGAAGGAGACTCATGACTGAAGGACCAGTTGGTCTAGATGGCTTCCACATCCCCTTCTCACTCCCAGCTGCTTTGATCAGTGCATTTGATTCAATCCTTTCAGGACTGACAGTATCTGGAGAGCTTGGTTAGTAAATGAACAGTTTGGAGTCATGTTTACATCTGGTCCATTGGGTGCCAGTGAACCAGCTAATAATCACATGTGTACACTTGGCCATGGTGTGGAGAATCAGCATTCTGTGGGAGGAACATTTAAAATCACTTTTTGTTTTGGCATTGACATTTTCTTTGAAATTTAAATTTTCTATCATGTCCTCATTAGAAATGCTGGGCATCTGATTTTAAAAAAAAACAAAAACCCCAAACAACCTATGTTAGCTGACACTTCTAAAGTAATATATATTTATAAATATATAAGAGTATAATAATAAAACTAATGATCATGTCAGCAGTACCACTACTGTGGCAGAATGCAATTTGGTATATCTGGTCAAGAATTATATTATTTTCTAATAAGACAGTAAAATATTTCTATTGTCACTATGGTACACCTTACCATTGTGGAATTATAACAAATCCTCATTTGTTCCCTCCTCCCGATCCTGCCGTGTGTTCCTTGCTTTGCATAGACGTTGCATAACATTTACATGTAAGTTTAAACCTAGAAAGGTGAACTAGAAGGTACTAGAGGAAAGAGTACGGAGCTGTTGGTTCAGATTGTTCTGGGTTTGAAACTCCGCTGTGAAACTCATCAGCTGTGTTGCATAGTTTCCAACTTCTTCGATTCTTTGGAAAAAGACCCTGGGCTTCATGAAATTCTGCTTGATGTACATCCTGTGTCCAGAGAGACATCGTTCATAAGAGGGACCGTTATTCCCAGTTGGGCCTGGGGCATTAGCGGGAACAAGGCGCAACAAAGTAGTTGAGAAGCGACAGCATCCTTTTTCATCTGTGTTATTGGCTTGTCCCTTGTTCAGTGGTTGATTGGAGATCAAAGGTGGAAGGGAAACCAGGGTGTGCTCAACAACAAGGATCTTGATGTTCTTGAAAGACAGTATTTAGCTCAAATACTTCTGTGTGGCAAAGATGAATGCATATTAGAATTCTGAGAGTTTTTGTGATGACCAGGAAGTCTTCTAGTCAGTATTTGTTTGTTTTTCTTTATAGGGCGTATCTGAAGAAAGCCCCAAAGAAAGATGGTTTTTATGAAGCTTTGCTCCTTTTGGTGTTTCCTGCCTTGTTTTCCTTCCTTACTCCAAGGGCAGCCTTGCTCTATGTGATGTATGACCAGGCAGCCCAGACTTCTTTTTTTCTTTTTAAAGGATTTGTTTGTTTATTTATTTATTTATGGCTGCATTGGCTCTTCTTTGCTGCACGCAGGCTTTCTCTAGTTGTGGCCAGTAGGGGGCTAGTCTTCAGTTGGGGTGCACAGGCTTCTCACTGTGGTGGCTTCTCTTGTTGCGGACCACAGGTTCTAGGCATGCGGGCTTCAGTAGCTGTGGCTTGCGGGCTCTCTAGAGTGCAGGCTCAGTAGTTGTGGCGCATTGGCTTAGTTGCTCCACAGCATGTGGGATCTTCCTGGACCAGGGCTCGAACCCATGTCCCCTGCATTGGCAGGTGGATTCTTAACTGCTTTGCCACCAGGGAAACCCCAGACTTCTTATATTCATGTCTGGTGCTGCATTCTCCAGTGTGTCTGTAGAATCTCAAGGCCTTGCTAGTGTTGTTTCCCTGGCAAAGGCTCTTCCAAAGTGGAAGTGTGAGTTCTTGAACCAAGCTTGCTCTGACCAAGCCAGCCAGTATATACATTGCACATTTAGTAACGGCCTATCTTTTCAAAAGAGAGCTAGCTTCAGGCCTTCAGGTGCTGGGGATGGCAAAAGTTATTTCAGGATGCCCTTCCCATATTTGATGATCCCACATCAAGACTTGGAATTTATATGGATTTATATATAGAAGATTCTCAAAACTAAAGTTCTTGGATGCAAGGAACTTGAATTTAAATCACGCGACTTATGTGTTTTGACATTCATACCTGCTGATGATCACCAATTGTTGTGTAAGATGACTTACGGAGGATCTAGCAAAATATACTCTGAATCATGTGACATTGCTGTTCTAATTTACAATTAATTTATCATGGTATGAATGACAGATCTTAATTAGTTTGGTTAATACAGGGGATGAGAAGTCATATAGTTCAGTAGAAGCATCAGAAGGACCCTCATATATGTGATCGTTTTTGTCAGACACACTGAATCCGTGAATTCTTTCCTTCTCTTTGGGAAGATGTTGCACTTGGGTGACATAGCGGGAAGCTCAGTGATGTTGGAGAATGTCTGTAGATAAAACTGATCTGTGTCCAAACCATTCCACTTGATAGGCAAGTGGCTTGGAGTTGCAAAGACAGGGGCTCCTAGAGCTGGAGATGGGTTCAGAGGAAGGGCAGGGCTGGCCTGGCCCTTGGGCTGCAGAGCACAGAGCCTTAGGAGATTGAACAACAGCATCTAGACCAAAGCTCGAGTCGGGTGCCAGACTAGGTGAAGGAGCAAACCAGAGTAGAGAGAGGAAGACTGGGCATGAGGCTATATAGCAAGGTATCTGAGGCCACTAGACCAAGAAAGTGAGGGTACAGGGCAGGCAGGAGGCAGAACACAAGGGCCTGGGTCAGGGTCTGCCAGCCTAGCTAATTGGAGAGCTATGTATAACCAGCTTACTCACTTGGCAGTGAACATGTCTTAAGGCAAATGCACTGTGCAGAAGATCTGATCACTGGATACCCTAATTTTGGTTTCTTGGGATCCC